CTCCCCTGTTCCTTTCTTTACAGATAAGCGTAATAAATTATTATTTTTATTTCAAAATGTGATTCTGAAATTTTTAAAAAAATTATTTCATAAAAAATAGCAATTTAATATTTTTCAGTGCTTCTGGCTTATGAAGATGCTGATTTAGAAAATGTCCACTGTTTCACAGAGGTTGTATCATTATACCATTTTTTTGCCAAATTGTTTTTGTTTTTATTCTAATAAAATAAATTTCATGTTCAGTTTTTGTATGGCGTGGGAATCTGGAAAAACCAGTCAATTCCGGTTCTTCCCAATCGAAAAAAATCAGGTATCATTTTTTTATTGCTTTTTGATATCTTTAATCAATTACTACTTATGCATCTTTATCATCTTTTTGTTAATATATTTGCTCAGATAAAAAATGTTGCACACTCTCCACCAAAGACAAACCCATCCCTTCATTTTTAGAGTCTTTAAAGCATTCAGATCTAGGATTTAAACTATATATTCTAGAATATTCTAGAATAGTAGAATCTACTAAACTATAGTGAGATCTATTAAACTATATATATTGTAGAATCTACTAAACTATAGTGAGATCTATTAAACTATATATATTGTAAAATCTACTAAACTATAGTGAGATCTATAAAACTATATATATTGTAGAAACTACTAAACTATAGTGAGATCTATTAAACTATATATATTGTAGAATCTACTAAACTATAGTGAGATTTATTAAACTATATAGTATATATATTGTAGAATCTACTAAACTTTAGTGAAATCTATTAAACTATATATAGTCCAGAATCTCTAAATTACAGTTAAACCCTAAATAAGCCATACATCGAAAGAATTCGTCAAATGTCGTATTCTTCATTTTCTGATAATGGAATGTTGCAGATAATTAGTTTTTTAATTAAATGATTATATGAAACTCTTTAAAACTGTTCCCGCATATTCATGGCTATTTATTTATTTTCGGAAATACTGAGATTAACGTAAAATAGAATAAAAACCATTGGAAAATTGTAAAGGCGACATTTGATAAATACTTTCGATGTATGGCTCATTTAGGGTTTAACTGTATATATATTTTAGAATCTACTGAACTAGTAAAATCTATGCATGATCTAAACCTAAAAGTTCATGTTTACACTTTTAAAAATGATGATGACCTAGCCTGGAAATACTTTCAGGTAAATGCCAAAATAAAAAAATGTATTTTTTACTTTAAGCAAGTAAAAACTATTTTGATTGTTTTTGAAAATGAAAAAAAGGCTTCATAAAATTATTACCAATTCTGTTTTTTGTTTTTTTTTACTTTTTACCTAAGATACTTAGATTTACATTAAAAGCTCTTTATAGTTACATTAGGCTCTCTACATGAGCTTTATTTTTTGTATTTTCTTTTACATGCAAAAAAAATCTGCATACACTGAACAAGAACAATTATTTAGTATTGAAAATGAAAAAAAGTGAACTGTAATGTGTAAACCCAAAATGTTTATAGAAATATAATTAGAGGGTGTAATAATTTCACTAATTCATTACGTTGATGAAAGGTACACGGGAGTTCAATTTTGGGCAACTTCTTGAAAAATCCAGATTTTTAACCCAAGGGGGGATTTGAAATAATGAAAGTATTTTATTCTAAATAAAGTAAAGTAAAATAAATGTATTAGATTAATCCGTTGGATGTCATGTTCTAATATATAATGTAATTTAATTTAAACTTAATTTTCGCAAAAAAAAGCGAAATTTCGCGAAAACGGTTGCGAAATACGAAAAAAGATTTTTGTATTTTTTCGCGAAAGTTCTTGTCTGCTGAAAACCCTACTGTCGATGCGCTCCAAAGTATGGCAAATGACGTCATCACATTTTCCGTTCATTGGACCGCAACCTTAGGCCGATTTACAGAATTTGGGCCACGTCTCAAATTTGAGACGCAGCTTTAACATGGCTGGTTCTACTTAAATTGTATGCACTGGTACGAGATTTGAGCCGGCGCTCAATTGGAACCGGTTATTGGAGGTTCAGCGACGCGATTTAAATTCTTTAAATTCGTCCTCTTGACGCTTACAGTCCCTTGAAGATAATATTTCAGGATCCTGCAGAGGAATTAGAGCAGTTTTATAAACTTGGTGTTGATGGATTTTTCACAGATTTTCCTCCAACCCTGGCTAGGTTCCTAGATTGTAAAAATATATGTTAAAGGGTCTGTAAACACAATTTCATGTGATCTTCCATTCAAAGAGAGCCATGTCTGACTAACAACGATACCTTTAAAAGCTTTGTCAGATCAAATATGAATTATGATATTCATTTTTATAATTTTGAAAACTAATTATTTTTAATTTTGGTTTCTTTACAAAAGTGACTTGCGCATGTCTATTTGTAAGTATACCAGGGATCGGCTGTATGAATATCATTGATCAGAGAAACGTTTCAATGGTACCGTTGTGTATCAGGCATGTCCCTCTCTATAAATGATGGTTCACTTGAAATTACGCATTCAGTCCCTTTGATTGTGCCATTATTAGAAATTCTCCAGTAAACAAATTGTCTAGTCTAAATATTAATAAATTATAAGTTTATTGAAATACCTTCTACAATGTTTTAAGCTGAGCTTTGATTGAAAAGAAAAGAATTATGAAACAAAAGTAGAATTATTTTTGCACAATTTAATCCTTTCTCATCTAAAGTTTCAGAGACAGCAACTTTTTTAAATTTTCAAAATCTAATTTTATATAAGTTTTTTAAAATCTATTAAAAATAAATAGATATAAATTTTATAATTTCTTAAACAAGTTTTTTTTTGTCAATTTACTTGATTCATGGGGTATTTTTACATTTTTACATTTATTTTACATGCATTTTTTCTTGTTCTTTAAAATCAGCAACATGATATGAAAAACTTTTTATTCTTTTTTTTGCTTTTTCTTTTACGTTTTTTAATTTATTTCTTAATAGGGGTTTTTTTAACAAAAATTGTCAGAGTCTTTCTCATCATGAAACTTAATGCGTTAAACTAGAGCCCACGAATTAAAAATTTAGGAGATAGAGCTGTCATTGAGACCAGAGGCGTATTCAGGGGGGCTATGGGGAATTCATTCATTCAAAAAATTGTATATGTGTTGTGAACGTTATTTCATATGTTAAAATGATTAAACATTGTTTTACACATGTATTCCCAGTAAACATTAATTTTTTACACTTTTACATATTTTAAACTAAATATCTAACATATATAAATTAGACTGGCCGGTAGTAAAATATTTTTTTATTGTCCAGCGCGGGTAAAAGATATTCCTTTAAATTTTATCACAACTTTTAAGATATCGTCTTCGAAAAAGGGTTGTAAACTAAAAAGTTCAAAATCCACAAGAAATGAAAACAAGAAAATCTGCGAAAAATGTTTGAATTCACTGGGCAACGCTGATGCTGCAGTATACTGTCTGTAACGAATGTACTCCAACACAATAGAGATTAATGTAGACATTGATCGATCCATATTTGAATTTTCACAACCATACATAGGTTTCCTACAATCACAACATTAGCACATAGTAGTAAACATTAAGGACGAGGGTAAGAAGTGTTGAAACGTTGGAGTAACTTGTTTACATTTGTCGATATGAACTTTGATTTTCAAATCTGTTTATTTTTGCAACCATATGTCGTGTATTTAAATGTAGACTGCAATACATTAATAAATTAGTAAATATTAATGGTCTACGACATTAGGTTGTGAAAATATAAGGAAGAGAAAATAAGAATTTGTTGTGTGTTTTTGAATGGTGGATATCGAGATCAAAGCTTGATTTCCTCGTTTTCTTAATCTCCAGATTAAATATTGCTTGTTCTCCTCTTGTTATTAATCTCCAGATTAATTAACCGATCGGGATTAAGGATATCCCACTCTAAAGTTTTCAGCTCTGTTCCTCTCCAAGAAAAGAGGAAAAATATTTCTTTAGCTACTTATATCTTAAACTAAAACTGTAATCATTGTAAACGTAAACAACGCTCTCCATTTCAAGGGTGCCGATTCACTATATCAATAAATCATTGCTGTTTGATACGATTTGTTCCTAGATAAAAAAGACAAAGGTTGAGATGGTATGTCAGGTAAAGACGAGTCGAGATATCAGTTCTATTGCAATATTTTTGACAAAAAGAATAATATTTTCTTTAACTTTTAAAATGTTCTTGGGATACTAATTCATGTCTTTGTGTATTTGTTCAAAAGCTAATTCAAACATGATAGATAAATCCTGAAAATATATATCATACAATATCCGCGAAAGTTGATCGAAAATAAAATATGTAAAAATGTATCAAACAAAACCCAGCGGATGAGGAAAATTAAATTTTGAATGAGTTTGTCTGTTTAAAACCTCGACTGGTTGACACAGACATAGTTCCGGTTTGTAGTAGTACTCGGACTCTTTCGACCACCTCCGAAGATCATTCGAGAATAAACTTTCCTAACAAAAAAATTAAAATTAGCATTGCACAAAAAAAATCATCATTGAAGATTTCGTTGATTTCTCTATTTTCTAAATAGTGAATCGATTGTTAAAAAAAAATCGGAAAGAAAAATAATGTTTATGCAATAAAAAGTCATAATGTGGAGCCCCTGATCTGCATACTGCATGTACTGTATCTATGAAATATTCTGGTCAAAGGAAACTATTATGTGAATTATCAAAATTATCAAAATTAAATGCAATTTAATCCTCCTCAGATACTATCACCAAAAACTTGCGTTTTTTTTACATAATTTGTCCGTTAGAAATTCATAACTTTATTATCTTTTTAGATAAACTTTATCTTAAAACAGACTGCAATGTAATTGGTTTAACAAATTTGGATTATTTTCCCACCATTTTTAGCACCTACAATGATTAATTTATTTGATAACTAGAGTTTTAATGTTGATTATTTGAATGTAAAACCAATACTGCAGCCAATGACGTCATATAAAAGTGTACAGAGCGTACACACTATTCGGATTAATTCCTAATTAATTCTACCCTCTTTGGTTTTATGTGTTTTTATTTTATCATCAACATCAAAAAATATTAATCAAATAAATAAAGTCCAAAGTAATATATTTTCCACAATTCATCACTTTAAACTACAATTTGTACAAAACTAAACCCAAACAAAATAAAATATAAAACAATGAAAAAAAAATTCAAATCAGCGGTGATCTTGATGGGGGGGGGGGAGGAAAAGGTACCCGTTTACATGTGATAAAAAATGTGATTTTTAAAAACGTTAAGTTAAAAAAATCCCAATAGATAAAATTTTGTAAAAGTTACCTGAATGAAGTGTTAAAGTACCCGTAGATTATTGGATTGGAAACCGAAGACGACATGCCAATTAGATGGAATGCCGCAAACAGTATCCTCTTTTGCTGGTCACTCATCTGTATTCTGCAAGAAAAAATTGTTAAATTAAAAAAAATTATTTGTACTAACTACATATCAAAATTGAGATGTCCTATTTCACATGTAAAAAACTCTCTCTTTTAGCCTTTATGAATGTTTAGTTTTACTTTTAAATTTAATGCAAAAAATTATTTATAATGTGTTCACTGGCAAATGAAGCATCTCTATTCTCTATATATTCAGTTTTAATCTCTGTTTATGTGTCTGTTTGTGTGTTTGTCCGATCATAGCTCAGGAACCTCTGGACAGATTTGCTTCAAATTTTGATTGGGTAAATCGAAAAGGCCACGGAACTGTTCTGTTTTTGGTTTTAAGATTCTAAACTGAGTGGGTCGACTTTAATAGTGAAAATTCAGTTGCCCGATGAAATGCGGGTAAACGGCGGGAGTAACTATGAGAAACAGCGCTGGGTCCCAAGCTAATTTTTTGATGAAATTTCACTGCCAATTAAAACATTTTATTTGATAAAGGATTTGAGTTTTTTCCACAAATTTAAATTGTTCAAACCCTTTATCTTTGCCGGCTGACATTTCAAACTTGGACAATTTTATCTAACAGACTGTATAAATAGTTTGAAATACAGGATTACCCACAAACAAAGACTTTACAAGACGACTTGAAAAGATATGACAATTTCAAGGTTTTGGCTCAAATAAAGCCTTGAAATGGCTGATAAACTTATTTGGCAAAGCAAAACACAATTTTACAGTAGCGGAGAAACAGATAGTATTTATTCAATTCCATTATTCATCTAGTTTACAATTATTCCACGTTTAAAATTCGGTGATTGTGATGGACCAAACCTCTGTAGAGTAAAAACAGTAGATGTTAGTTCCACATTTATTTAAAATATATTTCGGTTTGGGTTGACCCTCGTCAGTTCTTGAGATTGTTTCTGTCAGGAAGATTAAAAACAAACTTTGTAGAAGAAAAGTTTCAAATCGTTCCTTTACATATGTAGAGTTAAACCCTATATAAGCCATACATCGAAAGAATTCATCAAATGTCGTATTCTTCACTTTATGATAATGGAATGTTGCAGATATTTAGTTTTTAAATTAAATGATTATATGGAGCTCTTTATAATTATTCTCGCATATTCATGGCTATATATTTATTTCGCAAATACTGAGATTTACGTAAAATGGTATAAACCCCATTAAAAAAATTTAGGACGACATTTGATAAATTCTATTAATGTTTGGCTCATTTAGGGTTTAACTTTATCAAATTCATTCTTGTGAATCGGGCATTGCCAGGGAGGATCATTTCAGCCCCTCTAACAAATTTATATTCTTTACCCGAGTTTGTCTCCAATATCAAGATCCAGGAGTAGGTTGATCAGGTTCAAGGGGAGCCAGGATACTGTGAAGACGACAACAATCGTGATCAGTAGTCGCTGAGTTCTATACAGACGAACACGTGGTCTAGGGAACGGTAGATGGGTCAACCTCCTAAAATGTTTAATTAAGGTACAAACGTCGTCGTATATTTAAATACAATGAAGACGACTTTTTTATTTATATTTTTACCAAGCTTTAAAACAGCCATGTATACACATAAACATGGAAACAAAGAGAAGCTGTCAATTAACATGCTTCTCTGTTTTGCTTGTAAATTTGCATTTTGAAGAAAAGCTTGTTAAAAACAAACCTTAAAGGGAGAAGCCGTCATCATTGTATTTATATTAACTCCGACCACTATTAACCTACATGCACCAGTCCTTTATTTTGTATCTTACATTTATTTTCATTTATTCTACATTTATTTATTCATGTAGATATTTATTCATTTAGATATATATCTACATGTTTCAACATTTATTCATATAGATATATATCTACAGGTTTCTACATTTATTTATTCATTTAGATATATATCTACATGTTTCAACATTTATTCATGTAGATATATATCTACATGTTTCTACATTTATTTATTCATGTAAATATATATTTACATGTTTCTACATTCATTTATTCATGTTCAATGAACGAATATTGTCGTTTTCCTACTGAAGGATGCTTAAAAACTTAATTTGAATTTGTTGATTAAACTTGAAATATTTTTTCTTCTTTTATTTGTGATAAAAATGATCAGCTAATTTGGTCCAGCCGTTTGCAAAGCCATAACGAACATATAAATAACTATTTTAAAAACATTTTAAAAATAAATTTTGAAAAAAAGACATATATATGTGAGAAGAGCTAGATTTAATAGATAGAAGCGAGCGTACACTGCCACCCTATATAATTTACCTATTGATAGATAAATGAGCCAGACTGATGATTAAAGAGGGAAGGATTAGTTGGATACTGGAAAGAACCAAGCTAAACACAGAATATTATCATTTAAAAATAATTGAATATATTTAGATTTAATTTTGAAATTGATTTTGAAAAAAAATTTTAAGAAATTAATTCATTGCCTCAAACTCAAATTTCTAATCGCTATATATGTAAAACCTGATGGTGTCAACCTTTGATATTTCATACTTAGATTATTTGATTTAACAAAATTCATGATTTGAAATATCCAATGCCTTGGGTTGCAAATATATAGGAATGAGTTTTTGGCAAAGACTCAATTTCTTTTAGGGTTTTTGCATTCCGTTCGTAGAAAAAAACGCAAAAAATGTCGTTTGTTTCGCATTAAAATTAAAAATGCGAAAATTAAAAAAGATTGATTATTTTTTTAAACATTAATTGCTAAATTATCGCATATTTTTTCCACAAAATTCAGCATTGTTTTCGCTTCCTTTTGAAAAATTTATATTCGCGAAAAAATGCGAAATTTCGTGAAAGAGTTTACTAATGAAAGAAAATTTTTGCAAAATTTTGCATTTTTCGCAAAACATCTCGCTTGCTGGAAACCCTAATTCCTTTGCAGACTCGATTAGTCTATATATATTTATATATATATATACTCATTTTAAATCAATCAATTATGTTTCCGATTGATGAGTAAAATTCCATGATGGATTGATTGATTAATTAATTGAATTATTGGTTGATTGGATTGATTGGTTAATTGATTAATTGTCTATTTGGTTAATCGATTAATTGATAAATTGATTAATTGGTTAACTGATTAATTGATTAATTGATTAATTTATTAGCTGATTGATTGATTAATTAATTGATAAATTTATAAATTGATTAATTTGTTAACTGGTTAACTGATTAATTGATTAATTGGTTGTTTAATTGATTAAGCAGTTAATGTGAACCTGTAGAAGAGACGACCATGATTAAAATCCCAGTTTTCAATGCAGTAGCTCCGAGCCAAGAAACTTTGTCCAACCTAAACATTTGGCAATTTTTTGATAATATAAAAATAAAAAATTATAAGGCAAGAAATCATTTCCCTTAATAAGAGCTCGAAGCTAAATTTTGCTATTTTTATAATTTCTGAGCGTGTATGAATCTACATGATACAGATTATTTTAAGAATATTTTAATAATTACAAAAAATCCGAAAAAAGGAAATTTATTAGATTTTTATCTAAAAATTGACGTAGGTTGAGAATTGGTATCTTTAAAATCAAAGAATGATTACAACAGAATTCCAGGAAACCAATTATGAAAATTATACATCGTCAACAAGTTAATTTAAAATGCAATAATATAATATTTTTTAAGAAAAACTTATTTAAAATATATCAGATTATGAAAACAAGAAGAAAAGCGTGAAGAAGAAAAATTATGATTAAACCAAACAGGTGCGAACATTATCACCCATTATTAACTGATTTATAATTAAGTTTTTTACTAAGAGTTAAAATATTTCATTAACAAGAAAACTATAATTAACAGATTATGAAAAAGTTACACAAGTGAAAAGATGAAATCAATAAATTATAAAATGAAAAGTTTCGCAGATGTTTTGCTAATGAAAATTGTTTTTAAATTATGGTTTACCAGGCACGGGCAGCCAAAGTGCATTTGAATTTCCGAGCCGGGTCAACCTTTCCGGTCCTAGTTTGTACTGTATCGCCCGGACATTGGGTAAATAAAGCAGACACTCAATAGGACTAGCCGGTGCAACAAGATTGACGCGATCAGACTTTATTTTGAATTTACTTTTACTGAAGGGTCAGAGGTGCGTGCAGGGCGAGAGGCGTTTAGTTTCTTTAATTTGAATTCAATTTTTTGTTGCTCTCAAGACTATAATTCAATCTTTATATTTCAACATTTAAAATGTATTTGCTAACATAAAAGTAAAATAAAATTGTGATCGGAAAAGACTGAAAGCTACATCTGAAGTCATGAAAGAAATCCTTCATTTTCCTGGTCAAACATTATTTTTGATGCTTTAAAGAAAACCCTGAGAAAGGACAAGTTTTGGCAAGAGAGGAAGAAGATGCCATACCCCCCCCCCCTCCCTCCATTTTTGGATATAATTGACTCAGGATATCAAAATTGCCAAATTTCTTTATTATAGTTAGATTTGATAGGTGTATATATGAACTCATTACAGTACTAAAACTGGCAAATAGTTAATGGCCTTAGATAAGAAGTGAATGGAATTTTTCTTTTCTAAGACTAATTCTACACCTTTCTAAATAAAAAAGATAGAAAATTTAGAAAAATTGAAATCTTAATATGAACAGATAAAACATTAATATGGAATGTATCATTTACTCTCAGACAAATTAGAATCATTGAATCCCTCGGGGGTTTAAATTTCCATTGATTCTAATTTGTCTGAGAGTAAATGACATTCCTTTTTAAAGAGTTCAATGATAAACCCGAGGGCTTGAGGATTTTGCTGATTTTTTTTTGCCTTTGTAGATTTTCAAAGTATCTTTCAATGAAAATATCCCCGCGGGATTAAATAAAAATTGTTGCATACCAAAAAACCCGCTTTTTATAAAGGAAGGCTTACTTTTGACTAAGCAACAAACCAAATTGCGAAAAGATTTGCTTAAGTTTCGAAATTTCAAATTGCACGAAATTTCGATGTTTTTGCTTATTGATGCGCAAAAGCTATTACGTGCAAATTCTGAAGAAAATCTTGGTATTTGCGTATTTATTTATTTCCTACTATTTCGCTATTTCGAGCTTTTTCCTTGTTTTGAGCTATTTCGTTAAATTTCTAGAAACAATTCCAGGAAATGATGAATGAATTCAAAATTAAACCAACCAATTAAATATAGAGTTTTAACCCTCATAGAGACAAAGAATTATAAATTTCAATACGTCTTAAACATAATTTTGACAATTGTGACCATATCCCTCTTACCTACGCCAAAATCATATTGATTATCACTATAGTTGAAAACTCTCTATTATTTGTTTATTTTTACACTATTTAAAACTCTACTAGTTGAGTTTTAGAAGAAGTAAATATTTCCATTTACTGATAGCGCCGATTTAAGGATTCATATCTCTAATTGGATAATGAGATAGATAGAAAGATAGATGTTACCGCCATACTATTTCTATTGGTTCAGAATAGACAACAAACACATGACAGAACCCTGATTGGATCAGGCGCTAATGAACTCGGCATACAGGAGTGTACTGATTGATTAGTTTCATATTCCAATAGTTCCTTAAATGGCCATAAATTCCTTTTAAAAAATATATTTTTGTTGAATATATACGGTATAGAGGTACTCACTGGGATACTGTGGGTTAGAACTTGCATTGCTTTAAGAAGAGGTGACGCGAAGAGAAAAGCTAGAATCCAGCACAGTCCTACAGCTATTTTCATCCTCATGTGCTTACTAAAGTAATTGAGTATTTATAAAGGGACTGATACAAAGAGAATAGAATATATAATAGAGGGGAATTTAGAGAATCTCTCGGTATGAATTTTTTCAGTCCTTTTTAGCCTGAAAGGGAGTTCAAAGTGTACAAATCATGTAAATGTTCACAAATTATATGCAGTAGAGTACATTAATACAGTATGTTCCCTAGACTAAACAGTATAAATGCACAAGTCCCTTTTATAATTGAAATTACGCTTACAGTTCTTTTAAAGTTATTATTTACTAATAATACGATAGATTAAAAGTATTTTACATTAAAGTATGGTCATACTTTTCAGTCAAAGATATTTATTAAAATAGCTGTCGCCTTTTATCGGAAAATTCAAGTTTAAGATTTTGTGGGTTTTTAAATATGTTTAGTCCATTGGCCCAGCTGTTGAAATCAACTATTTTAATTGAAAAAAAATTGTATTTGAACCCAAAACTCACTGGATTCAGAAGACGACTTTTAGATATGAGTTTTGATTTTTAAAAGTTCAATAAACATATAAAACGGGAACTGTTTAGTATGCATGTAATAAATACCGTGGCAAATCCCATAGTTACACCTAGATAAATTACGTTGTGCATTGTCTGTAAATCTAAATGCGTTTATCAATACCTATATGCAAATCTCGTATTGCAATTAACCTATTCTAGCTATATGTCAGCAAACAACCATGTCAAACCTATATTGTGATTAGCTTAACTATGTTGGTATATAACAATGCTAAACTTATAATTACGTCTCTTAACTTAATCTGTAACCTAGAAATCTAAATAAACGTCAGTTGTAATAATACTCCGCTTTGATTATATAGCTTGAGAGTAGTACTTCTTGGTTAGCGAATGAGAAGCGTCCTGAATCACTTTTTTGAAAGATAGATATAGATTGGGAATTACGTTAAGTAGGGCATTTACTGCATGGACGGACCCATTTCACTTTATAAGTAGATTCTTAAGCTACTTTATAAACTATTTGCATGAAAAAAACATATAATAATGCCCTAATAAGCTATTCCTTTCCCACTGAAAGACAATTTTCTAGCAGAAACTCTATACTAATGTTGACACAAATACTTTGGCATTCAGGGACATGTTTGAGCATTGTTGATTTGTTGATATGTATCTTTAAATATGCATGTCTGGAATGCCTTGCTTCTAAATTATTGAACATACAAACTCCAATTCCTGTATTTCAGAATAGAATATTATTTGAATACCTGGCTTTGTTGGAAGAATGCACAATAAGCCGGTGCCTAAAGAATTAACAAAATTTAAGTATTTTAAATTATCAAATTTTAACTAAAACTTCGTTTTTACATTTTTCAACGTTTTGTAAATGGTTTATTCAAAATAAAATAACAGATAGGTCCATCAAATAAAAATTCAGTCTGTCATAGACGTAAATTAACTCTCTTGCCCCCTGCAAGGAAAATTACGGTTCATTTGATGTAACGGCCCAATTTTTAGGCAGTTATATAACAGACTACCAGGGGCGTATTCAGGGGGTGGGCAATGGGGGCTATTCCCCCCTGGAGCAGTGAAATATATTGATTTCAGGGGGTTTTCAGACCCCGCCGGGTGCTGAGCCGCCCCCCCCCCAATGGAAAGATAAAAAATAAGGGCCCCCCTTTGGTCAAACTCCTGGATACGCCCCTACAGCCTACGCTTGAACGATACAGTACACCAAATAAATACTAATAATCTAAAGAGATTTATTTTCCTTGTATTTTACCTGTCCAACGATATGCAGATGATACTGAAGGTGGACATGAAGGACAAGAAGACAGGAAAGAACCCGGTCATGACACATAATCCAGACCCAATCCAATCTTAATATATATATATAAACAGAAACTGCGATTTTTTTCTATAACATTTTTATAACTTAAACATTAACAATCAGTATTTATTTATTATTTATTAACAAACTACTTGCTTAAAACGGCCAGCTATCTAGAACTACCTGCTTGAAACGGCCAGTTATTCAGAAACTACCTGCTTGAAACGGCCAGCTATATAGGACTAGCTGCTTGAAACGGCCAGCTATCTAGGACTACCTATTTGAAACGGGCAGCTATCTAGAACTACCTACCGGAAACGGCCAGCTATCTAAAACTACCTGCATGAAACGGCCAGGTATCTAGAACTTCCTGCTTAAAACGGCCAGCTATATAGGACTAGATGCTTGAAACGGCCAGCTATCTAGAACTACTTGCTTGAAACGGTGAGCTATCTAGAAATACCTGCTTGAAACGGCCAGCTATCTAGAACTACCTGCTTGAAACGGCCATCTATCTAAAACTACCTGCTTGAAACGGCCAGCTGCTGATGAAGAGTTGAGTAAGTGTGGCCGGAGCTGCAACACTGACGAGTAAGCAGTCTGAAACTGCTAAACTAACCATGTAGAAGTTTCCTTCTGTCTGTAAAGATGGAGTCCTAAATATGGATTCTTTAAATACTAAACTTTAAAAAGGATTAAAGAAACTATCGACGTTATTTCTCTTAACCATCCATTTAAGGAGTTGTATATGCTCGTTTTACTGTAATACTCTTTCTCCTATAACACTCTTAAATAAACCTGCGGACTTTTGCACCAGAGAGAAGGAATGAAAATGACAGAATTCAGCATGCTTTGAGTTTAAGAAACGAAAATATCATCCACATTATTTATTAACTAAAGTCCCTTGAGTGGTTTGGTAACAACAACAAAATTATTTTTAAAGTTTAGAATGCTTTAATTTGAATTCAACAAAAGTTTAGTTTTATATTTAATTATTTACAACCACTTTACGGGGACGTCAAGGGAGTTTTCCTTTAGTGTGGGTTCCCAAGACCAATTTTGTTTACTTAACGTAGCAAAGTTTAAATTGTTATTTAAAGGAAATAGAGTAAAAACCAACGAGGTTATCTATTCTTAAAATCTAAATTTAATGCCTACAAGTTGCCTGCTCTCTTTGCTTTCGGTACTCATTTTCAGTTTTCCAGGAAAGGGGACGTCCCTTAATTTTCTAGGGGGTGGGCGTCCCCCTTTCCTTCCCCCCACATCTTAAGCCGGCTCTGCCAATACTTCATTGTTCAATAAAGGTTCTGTGAAAACTATATAAAATTTAAGATGCAAAACCTCCCTATACACTCATACTCTGAAAGCGTACTGCATATTTAATGATTGTACTGAATGAATAGGCAATAATCTCTTAATATCCTTCATCAGGAAGCTGTCTTAATCGTACACTCAGGCTAATATACACAGCCAGGTAGCTAAGTTCCAGGAGTTCCAGCCCCCCTGGTAACAATCAGCAAAACGTCGGCAATGTCGTCTTTGATTTTGCTTTATTTTTACTTCATCACAAATCCTGAATATTATAAAGTAACAATTAGAAGAAGATTAGTCTGGCAAACTCAGAAAGGATGATATGTTGTCAACAGGGAGTATGAAATAGAAGGGAGATACAACTAACGCGGCCCGCCCTACCATATGGTTAGCTTTGCAGATGGTACTACATTCAATTTCTCTCCATTTGTATACGGAAATATAAGTAGTATAGTTCTTGACGGTAAATAAGCGTTTATATAAATGCATCATTACTGTATCTTGTGATTATAATTGGGTTTATTCATGCCAAATGCACTCAGAGACGTGTAAATATTAAAATTATATATGTACATATTATGTATAAACTCTAAAGTATACTTTTTTAATCGTTGAAGAAACATATCTATGTATATAATAAAAATTCAATTGGCAACGCCGGGCACATCAGCTAGTCTTACATAATGCATAATTCCAGGCGAAATTTAATTTTTGAAATTTTGAAATTGCCAATAACAAGATATAACATATCTGAGTGTTATGAAGTAGACAGCATATTAGATTGATATCAATATCAATTATCAATGTTAACATAAACTTATTTCTTCAAAATTGACTTAACCCATTCAAGAATCCAGGGTTCCGACACTGGGTTTCAAGAAGATACCCTGTCTTTAAAAAATTGAGTCTTTGCCACCAACTCTGATATTCTAATCCATATATCTTTGAATTCTGTTAGATCAATTAGTTTAAAAAATCAAAGGTTTACGCCATCATGATGCAAATATAGGTATTAAAAAACTTAAGTTTGTGGGAAAGAATCAATTCCGAGAGCGTATACTTCATAAATGTACATTGTAAATGTACAGTTCAGTTGAATAGGTTGACAACTATCAGCCCCCCTGAGCTCTGGAAGAAGAAAACGACTTATAGACTAAAGTTATGACTTTTAAGTCTGCATTGAACATGATATACAGCAATTGTTTGATGTAAACAGACCCCACCAGCTTAATAAGGGATTTAATAAGTTACTGGTATCACTATTTTCTGAAAATCTTCAAATACAACAGCTTATTGATATAATGTCGTCTTACTATTCTACAGTTTCCTGGTTATCACCGCATTATCTTGACATTCTCCTACCTGTAGACAGCAAGAACAACCATAATGTTCCCTATGATGCTGGCGAGTGCTGTGAGGATGTAGAGGATAAGGAAGAAGATTACCCAGGGTTGGGGTAGGGAGAGACTAGGCGCTGACAACTCCTGGATATTAGATTATCTAATTTAAATTTTATCTTTGCTTAATCTTATGCGACATATATGCAACCAATCTGAAAACGATTATATCCCACACAAAGGATCCTGAAAATCTCTGGTTTGCCCTTATTATAATTTTTTAATTTATTTTGCATTTCTAATAGATATAATTGATAATATTATTGCATATAGTCCGTATAGTCTGTATTATGTCACCACAACTTCAGCCAATATATGAATTTTCCTATAAATTTGACACAGTTTTAAATCAATTTCTCGAGACAGGAACATCAGGTAGATGTTTTATGTGTATCGTTTAACGCCTGATATTCTCAGGTTTCATCATATACCCCCTTTCATTTTTCTGTACAGTCCCTTTAAAGGGACTGTATTCACTACTATAACCATGCCTATGCTCACATGGAAAACATTTTTAAATTTTATCCCCCCTTGTAAGGGAGAAACTATGATTGTCCTTTCCCCCCCCCCCATAGTATAAACTCCTGTATACACCATTGAACCACGAAAATTAAAATAAGTAATTGTATTATATTCTAATTATAGTTAATAAACTATATATGTATAAAGTAGTAATCTCTGTTTATCTGTTTGTATGTACGATCAAAACTCACAAACTCCTTGCTACAACATACATACAAGCAGTGTATATATAGATATACAGTGATCATCAGAAAACAAGGGAATAGGAAGACGACATTACAGCAAAATTTGAGTATATTTGATGTTGACACAGAAATAATTTTACTGGAGACTGTTAAAATCACTAATTTGGTGAAATGGGTCTGTCTACACTGCGCAGTTGAAGAGTCTAATGCTCATAGGACTGTTTAAAGTCATAACTTGATTCTAAAAGTCGTCTTCATATTTCTGGTGATCACTGTACTTTAATTTACCTGTAGGAGAAGGTTGTCTCCTGATCTGTTCACATGTTCAGATAATCTTTCAAGAATAGACTCTACCTCACCGGATATATTCATCCCTAAATATGCGAAATAATAGTAATATAAAAATAATAACAAAAATATTAATAACTAGCTGAAGGGCTCGGCATTGCCCGTGAAAAAAAATGTTTAAAAGAATGTTTTATAACACTCCCCGGCCACCCCTGAGCAAATTGAACAAAATATAGAAAAAAAAACAAATGTTGAGGTTAAATTTTCTTTTTCGTTCGAATGGAAAATTAAACTCTCCGAATTGAATTTAAATTGAAAAAAAAACAGAAAATATTTGTCTTTTTAAACGAAAAGAATTGAGTGGTTTTGGAACGAAAATATAGAGTACACTCACTACTCAAATATTAGGTCTTTTAGATTAATCAAATTGTACAAAAAATCTTATCATTTTATGTTATTCCTTGACCAAATATTGGTTAATTCACATTGAGAACATATACATCCGGCCATGAAAAAAAATTGCAAAAGCAAATATTGGCTTGGTTTGTAGGTTATTTAGCTCTATGCGCAAATAGAAATATGTACAAAACCACATTTCAGCTTCTCCCACGATCAACTTTAGTGGTAGATCTTTAAAACGTTTGTAAATTATTTTCAAGTTATGATAAACAAATTCACCATTTTGATCAGCATATATCTTTATGGGTTTATGAATGAAAGGCAGAGAAAAAAATTATTTTTCCTATATTGTGCCTGAAAAGGCAATCTTAACAATTATAGGTCGATTTAGTAAAAAATAGTAAAAACCGAGCAGGAGTTTTTAATAAACGAATTATCAAATCTGTTTATCATAATTGTAAGATATTTTTAGATGTTTTGAAAACTCTATCTTTAAATCTGACCAGGCCATGGGTGAAACTTAAATGGGCTTTTGCATATATTTCTTTATGGGACCAGAGCGAAATAACCTACAAACCAAGCCAATTTTTCTTTTGAATTTATTTAGTTCTCAATGTGAATTAACCAATATTTGGTCAAGGAATAACATAAAATGATCAGATTTTTTATACAATTTGATAAATCTTAAAAACCTAATATTTGAGTAGTGCACAGTACACTTATTAATTATTTATACCCTGTTTTCTTTATTGGGAAAAAATCTATGACATTTTCTAATTTTTTACATTTTTGAAAGTCCTCTAACACTAATTTAGAAATATGCAAATATCCGAATACTTCTTGCGAAATCCAGTTATTTGGCAAAAGTATTAAGTTCGCGAAATATGCCAAATGTCACCTTTTCTTAAAGATGTTCATTCAAATAATTAATCTTTAGGTTCGCAATGCATGTAGTGCAGTATGTGGATCAAAAAATGAACTAATATATTAAAGAACACATTACATTGGGAGTACGTCCAAACATAAATTTTGTCTGGTATTGAGTAAAATTAGGCATTCAGGCAGTATGTAGCAGGTATAAATCTCAGCTTATACTGCTATATGCTACAACAACGCTTTATACATGCTACACCAGGCACCCATGCCGCTTTATTATTTGTGGATTGTGCGGCACAGAGCTACGACCGTAAAGGTTGGCCCAGCTCGGATAATCAAATGTACATTGGTTGTGCGTACAGGACTTCAGCAGTTTCGTACCGACTTTATTGAAAATATGAATCTTAAATTAATATTAATGATAATTAACAAATTTAAAGCCCTGGAAAAGTCTAATTCAAAAAGGTGTCTTTTATCAATTCAATAATGTAGAAGATGACTATGCTATTTTGCATGAAAAGTGTTTAATTAAAATAAAATCTCCATTGTTTCTGCCATGTATCGAGCGAAAAATATCATTTAGAAAAACCTGCAAAGACTTTGAGAATACTTTTTGATGTGTTCTAAACCGGTTCTTCTATAGCTGACCCTGTGTTGAGTACTGGTGTATTAAGAGAACTGAAACGGATCTTATCGCGGATTTTGTTCTCTTCTCGTCTCTAATTTGCTCTCAAGGTATCTCTGGTTTCTCTCTGGAACTCTCTCACTAAGAGGCATAAAGAGAGACAATGTGATATCATATAAGTATAAAGTATAAAGTATAAGATATATAAAGTATAAAGTATAAAGTATAAAGTATAAAGTATAACGTATAAAGTATAAAGTGTAAAGTATAAAGTATAAAGTATAGAGTATAAAGTGTAAAGTGTAAAGTATAAGGT